AGGGGTCAACAGGCAAATTAAAGTTCTCTTGAGTGCTGAGGCAAAGGCTGCAGCCTGTTTGGTCATGCACGCACAGGCGCTGGAAAAAGAGAGAGAGAGGAAGAAAAAAAAAAAGAAGAAGCAGAAGAAGAAGAAGAAGAAGGAAGAGAGACCAAGGTTAAAGCTGATGCCTCCCGTTTGGAGGCCACATTGCCCGATGCAACATGTGCCCATATCATACTTACTGATGAGATTTTTAAATGACCTTTAAAGCCAGATAGATTTCTTTTTTTCCTCCACCTATGTTTCCAGGTGCCACAGCCTGTTTGGCAGCAGGGCGCCTTTATTATAAGCGCACCGATTTAGGGGCTGAATAATCAAATTTGCCTCACTTCCATCAACGCCACGGAGAAATATGAGGCGGCGTGATAACTTTTCATTCTTTTTTTTTTTTTTTTAAATAAAGGATTTTTAGATATGCCCACAAAACAGTGATGGACACAATCAAGACGGGGCTGCGCTATAAGAGCGAAGGTATCCTGGGTATTTGGTCATGTGTATTTTGGTCTAAATTTCCAGGGGATATTTTAGATGTTAATAGCCCTGAAGTGGTCTCGGTTTCTTATTTAATTTCTCTCGCCTTCTTTAAATGTAATTCGCCCACAGACTGCGCCGCGAGGCTCTAAACCGCGCAGAAACTCTCTCATCATTTCCACAGCAGAATGGAAATGCAAATTGTGCGCACGGGCAATGCCCTTGACAGAACTCACCACTGCACACAATTAACATGAGCACTCTGACAGAAGTTAGTGACGAAATGTGAAGTCACACCAGCAGTGTGTCAAATAACACGCTTGTATTTATTCCAGCCAATCCCCCCACAATAAACGCACCTAAACGCCCCGCAAGTAACTCACAATAACAACAACAACAATAAGGATAATATTAATATTAATTTTAAGCAATTTAGAAAAAGGGTAAAACGATTTCTCTTCTCCATGTTTTTGCTCTACAAATATGTAGTTTAATTTCTATTAGTGGTCACGCTGTTGTGCGCATTTTCTGGATTTATCTTTTTTTTTTTTTACTTTTTTAATTTTAAATAATTTGCCCTGGATATAAACAATTTCTGTCGCCGTGTGGGGGCCAAAGAGGGGGTCCCCTGGATAAAGCCAAGTTGAGATTTAGCTATCTTGTCAGTGAGGAACACAGCTGCCTCATATCGACACAATGATCTCAAGTGTAACCAACGAGGGGCGCTGTCCGTCTATCAGCCGTAAACTACTTGACATGGATACAGCCTACATGATTGATCTCATCACTCTCTGCCGTTTGTGTTTTGCTCCTATAATTAAAAATAACGCGCAAGCTGCGTTTTTAATATGATATTCCGACATGTCACGTCAAATTCCGGACGTGCATTTATTAGGCCTGCAGTTGTTGATGGAAGCAAAAGTTTCCCAAAGAGGATTTAATTGTAACGCGCAATCGAGCATTTTAGTAAATTATTATTATTTAAATATATGTACAAATGTTGTTTAATTTCTCCCACTTGTGAGAAAAATGTCAATGCATGTGCAGAAACTTAATCCATCTTTTCTAACAGCTACAAGTGACACAAAACAATTATCTAAAACAAAGGCTGCGTCTCTTTTTTTTTTTCTTTGCGCACTAACTTACGCACGTCGCATGCAAATAAATAAATAAATCAATCCATACATTTCAAGTTCAAGTACACGCTGTGTTGCAGGTCTCAACGATGGAATAAGGAACGTTAGTTGCGGTAAACAATAAGTGGGCTGACTGCCTATTTCTCGCTCCATATGGAATTTGGAATGATGCGTAACTGTAGGCGTATTTGATTAATATTTAATCGAAAAAAAAGCTCACTTTTAAAACAACCTCTGTGATAAAGCCGTGAGCGAACTTGCTTGCTGGGTGCTAATAAGATTTCCTTTATTTCCCCCCCACCCTCCTTTTTTTTTTTTTTTTTCCAATCAATCCATTAGGAAACAATGCAGGTGAGCATAATGAAAGTGTTGTCCCAATAAAGTGCATCGATGGACAGCTGGGCAGCGGCCGGCTGATTGACTTTGCCTTGACATCTGGGAGGCCCGCTGGCCCCTGGCACGCGTATAGGCTGATGTCGCCATTTACATGCAAATTTAAGGAGATCATGAGGGCCTCGCCCCGTAAATTCACACAAAAAAGAAGACGTCACCCTCAATACGGAGGAGGCTCGTCCCGTCGAGACGGGAGGTCTTCGAAGTCACCCTGTACATTTTTTTTTCCTCTCCATTATTGGAAACCACGCGTCCCGAGGAGTTTGGTTTTGTATCAGTGGTCAGGGCCCAAATCTTTGGGGGTTCATTCATTGTGGTCACTGAATAGAAGAATGAGATAACAGGCCCCCGTGTCATCAGCCGGTCATTTAAACGAGCATTCAGCCTCACTCAATGCGGCCAAGATACAGAGATCAGGCAAATAGTTTGCACTTGTTCCCCTTCTTGTCACCCATCACTTACCTCCATCATGCAGCTGAGAAACAGATTTTTTTTTGTTGTTGTTTTTTTTGGAGTGGAGGGGGGGGGGGAGTAATGAGAAAATGTGACTAAGCCTCCTAATTCCACTCCCGTGCAAAGTTTTCATGCATGCAACCACTAAAACAAACGGGGATCAGCATTTTCTTTTTATTTTGATGGTAACATTTCACCTAATGATGAAGAGCGCATTTTCCACGGTGTAAGCCCACCACGCAGATGATCCCACAGAATGAGCTGAGACGGATTCAGGCTCCGCGCCTCAGTGTGTGGAGCAGCTGACTCCCTCTCTCCACGTCCAGATGGCTCCTGCACACAGATTTGCATTCATTTTCCTTTAATATCTTCTGAAATAGCGGGGCAGCTGCATTTGTTGTCAAATACGGTTTAAAACTCCCTTTCAGGACAGCATCGTTACCTACGTGACGGGTGTGGAGATCCATTTTCCCTCTCCAGTCAACAGTATCAGATCTAAGAGGATTTGTCTCAAAGTCTCCTAATTTGATAATCAGATTTAAATCGCCTTGGTGCGTGTAATCAGGGGTTAAGTTCTAATAAGCGACTTGAAACTGTGCAAAAAAGCATAGTGAGTTCTGTGCAAAATAGATATTTGCAATCTCGGTAGAACAGACAAAAACATTTACAACATGCGCCTCGGTTTGTCTCATCTAAGAGAAAAATACAATTAACAAAGAGCCCCCCTCCTTCCTTTGACTTTCACTGATATTTTTTTTTTCTCCCCACAAATTGAAACTTGGATTTCTCTTAAATAATAAAAAAAAAAAGTAAGAAAAAAAAATCTACACTCTCATTTTGTGACTGGGCAATTTGGCAATAGATTGTGTAGAGGTGAAAGCAACAGCTTATAATTCACTTATCTTTGGCAGCAGCTATTAACCCTCAGCACCAGCTAGATAGATTGCTCAGGATATAGCACACATCTCTCTTCCTCGCACCCTCCCCTCTCTCCCTCCATCCTCTCCCCCTTTTCACCACTAATGAACCGAATTGCTTGCTTGTCCCTCTCGGACAGAGTCGGACATGTAGGCAGTTGGCTCTTTAAAAATGATTAAGATGTTTCTGATTATTACTGATTTTACGGGACGTGCATGAAATAAGGAGGACACAGAGCCATGGCTTTGCTCAAGTTGCTTTAATGCCACGAGACACTGTGGCTCTGATATTTTTTTAATTTTATTTTTAGTCCTTTAGAAGAGGTCAAAAGCTCTGGCTTTATCTCGAGCAAGTGGCACGTCTGCATCACTGATTTATTTTAATAAAATAGATGCTTAAAAAGAACAACTAATTCTCAAACTTTGCTCATATTTCATATTTTTTAGCGCAATAACTAAAAAAAACTCTGTTCTACATAAGCTGCACAGCCAGTCTATTTTTATGTTGTGAAAAAATTCCCAATGAAAAGTTAATGCAAAGCAAATAGATTAATAATCATGTCATGATTCCCTAAAAAAATAAAAAAATAAATCAGCGTTGTATTAATTGCATTTTAATTACAATAAAAAAAATAACCAGCAGCGTATTTTTTCTTCTTCAAAATGCACAATAAAAATAGATCAATTATATAAAGAAACATGATCTGCCATTATTGAAATCTGATTTATGGCCTGTCTGCTCGCAGCTATTGAGATGCTTTTCGATACATGAGTGAGCGAACGAGTCAATTTGAAGCAAATTTAATCAAATAAATATATCAAATGCTGTTCATTTTTTAACCCCAGTACCATAACGCTAATTGCAATCATTAGACCAACTGTAATAATAATAATAATAATATTAATAACACGCAATGAGTTATTATTATGTATTGCCTTTTTTTTTT